TTTTGAACATTTTCGCATAATTTTTATTGAAAATAGGTAAAAGACAAGTAGATATAAAATACTTTAAATTATTAATTTCGCCAAAAAGCTCGGTACTACGAGTCCAGCGTTACGCATTGTTAGAACAAAGTACCGTTCAAATAGAACGGAAAGAGCGAGGGAGGAAGTAGTTAGAAAAAGAGCTTCTTTTTACGGTTGAGAAGAAAAGACGAGAAGGGTCCGACTTTTCTTGCATCTTTTGATGGCCGAGAGGGAAAGAATTAAATTGACCCGTTTGCAGCTAATTACGTGCCCGTTACGCCGACCGAGGAATTTCGTGCCTGCCTGTCGTATCCGTGTCACGCGACGTCGACGTGCATGGATCTGCCCAGCGCGACATTCGTTTGCATCTGTCGTCCAAATTACACCGGCCTATTATGCGACGAGGAGATCAACAAAAGAGATTACGAGGTGCCGTCGTTCGACGGGAAAAGCTACGTCAGGATGAACAGATTGAAGGCTTACCACAAGTTCAGCGTCGAGGTCGAGTTTAAGACGTACGCCGACAACGGGATTATACTTTACAACCAACAGAAGAGCGACGGCACTGGGGACTTCGTCTCATTAGCTATCGTCGACGGGTCTGTACTTACACTAGCGTGAATTAGCATCGCAAACGCTTAGACAGTATAATCAATAACTGCCTGACTGAATTGCTTTAAATACTCTTGATTTATTCGTTATTTAAATTTCTGTGATTTTTACAAAATTAATCTTGTACTATCCCGAATTTTTTACAGACATGTACAGTTCCGATATAATTTAGGGAACGGCCCTGTAATTCTTACTTCTCCTGAGAAAGTCAGCATGAAAATGTTTCATCGCGTGGCAGCGAAAAGATATCACAAAGACGGTGTTCTAATTTTTAACGACGGGGAAAATGTCGCCGGTGAAAGTCAGGGGATGTTAAAATCACTGGATCTGAACCAGGAAACGTTCATCGGGAATATGCCTACAAATCATTCTAAGTACGCGTTTCTCATAGACGTCAACATGATTAGTTAAACTTGTTTTTACTGTCACGACAAAAATCAACAGGGTTTACGAGAACATCGGTACCAGTCACGGTTTCCTCGGATGTATAAGAAAAATGATAATAAATCGGAACTTCGTCGATCTTCACGTGGGTCACGATAAGGAGATTTTGGAGACGTACCGCGTGAAAGAGTGCGGGGAGAACGCGTGCGCCAATCTTCCCTGCCAGAACGGTGCTACTTGCCAGCCGATCTTCGAGGAAGATTTATGCAACGGTCGCGAGTGCAGGCGAATTCAAAAACGTGGAAGAAATAAGAATAAGAACGGCATGAACATCGTCAGATGCAGAGGCTCGCACTGCACGTCCATCGATCAGCACCGGTCGAAGAAGAGCGCGAGGAGACGATGCGAGACTTCCAAGTGTGATTACGACGACGATTACGAAAGCAACTTCGAGCACGGAAATTACGCCGTGGAGAAGTACGATCCGCCAGATTACAGATGCATCTGTCCGCCTCAATTCACCGGCAGAGACTGCGAGGAATCGTTGGATCCGTGCATAGGCGAGCCTTGCCAGCACGGTGCCACTTGCGATATCCTCCCGCAAGGCGGTTACGTCTGCAAGTGTACGCCTGGAAGGACTGGAGAGCATTGCGAAATACGTAAGTAAAACGACTATTGGATTTTATTAATAGGAAGATGGTTGACGATTTATAAAGTACGATGTATTATTATTTATATTATTGTGCATCAAGAAATAATTAATTATAGTTGACGCGGAACTCACGGAGCTGTTGGTACCGAAAATGTCCGGCGACGGTTTCCTCGAACTGCCATGCCTGGAAGGGGTCGCAAAGGCTTTCTCTATTGAATTATGGTTTCTCACGCATGCCAGCGAAGGTTTGCTACTTTATAACGGGCAATTGAACAACGGTCGCGGCGATTTTATAAGCCTGAACCTGGTTCACGGCAGACTGGAGTTTAGATTTAATCTCGGAAGTGGTATTGCCAATATCACTTCTCCGGATCTGGTCACGCTCGACACTTGGCATTGTGTTCGGATCAGTAGACTGGGCAGAGAGGGTGTTCTCCAATTGGATGATGGCACAGTTGCTAGAGGATTATCCGGAAGTTCTTTAACCGAGCTAAACTTGGAAATGCCTCTCTACATTGGCGGTGTCAAGTGAGTTTACAGAAGGACTCAGAGTGTTAATACAAATTGTTTGCGCTCGTTCTTTACTAAATTTTTTTTCGAATTATAGACATTGGCGAGAGGTTCATCGACTTGCTGGTGCTCGGACTGGATTAGTAGGCGCGGTGCAAAGGCTGATGGTGAATGGGAAAACGTATCAGAATTTAGCTGTTAACGTTACGCAACACAATACGGAGATTTACGATGGACTGCCGTGTCCCAGTAACGAAAATCCTTGCCACAATGGTGGAGTATGTCTACCTCTGCTAAACAGCTACTTATGCAAATGCGTCAGCGGTTATAACGGCCTCCATTGCGAATTTTGTAAGTATTTACCACTATCTGTATTTTCACTTCGAAATTTCTTTAAATTATTATTAAATGCATTAAATGTAATTTTTTTATAGTCATGGGTTACGACATACAAACGGAATTATCTGAGAGGCCAGTACGCTTTAAGGGCGATAATTTCTTACAATTTAGACACCGAAACGGAAGGAGGTAAATCGAAACAGATGAAAATTAAACGCTAATATTTTTTAAATAATTTCTTTCGCATATAAATAATTCTAAGTCACTGCATCACACCTCTTAAGGTATCATTCCGAATTAGGAGCACCAAGTTAGGCTGTTCTCTAATATATTTAGTAACAGTAGACTAAAACTAGATCCTCTTTTTTCAATCAAAGTATCACTAACCTTCTGATTGTGTAACACCGACTAGTACTAACTCGACTAATACTACCCTCGGCGAGTACTTTGAGGAGTCCTACTCCGACTACGACTTGGATGAGGATGTCGACTACGATTACGACAGTTACAATTACACGGAGTAAGTTTCTAGGAAGAAATAGCTGTGGCGTACTCGTTTGAGGGAGAGATCTCGATCTCTATGCTCATCTGCAACCCTGTCTGCTACCCTTTTTTATTATAAAGTAGAGAATAGGGATATCATACCCACTAAACCAGCTCTTGAAAACATGTGAATCGACAACATTCTTAAAAAACTGATTTGCATCTATTTGACAAGTAGATTTTAAAAATGTATTCATTGTACGCGAGTAACTGAAAATTCGAGCACCCTACCTTTGGATCGGGTCGAGCATCACCTCGCCCATTCCTAGTATTTATACGAAAAGCAGGTTTTTAGGGTTGATATACTATGTCATTTTTATTAATTTTAATATCAATGCTTGCTTGAATGTGCTACGTTTTCGTTTCATGGCACTGTAGCTCGATGTTCAATAATTCATCAAGCGAACAAGAATAAAAGTCGATACTATTTTAGGCGGAAGGGTCAACAATCCAATAAGTTCGAACTGAGATTGAGGACGACACACGCGAATGGACTGATTGCTTGGATCGGAAGAGGAAAAGTGGAACATCTTATTCTGTCGTTGCACGACGGTCAAGTACTTCTCACGTACAAAAACAAGAAGGAGCAGATATCTTTGAGGAGTAGAGTACGTATTTACTTCCGTTCTTAAAATTACTTGCGAATTTATACAACCAAATGTAAAATATCTATTGATTTCGTCATTTGCATAAAGATTGTAGAATAAATACATTTTTTTCAGGAAAGAGTGGACGACGGTGTTTTCCATCACATTGTAGCGTCCAGAAGACGGACGACGTCGATGATACAGATCGACGACTACGCTCCGGTTAAGATAACAACGGAGACGATCCTGCTGACCACGAACGGGAAATTGTTCGTCGGAGGTAAACCAGGCCACCGCGGCATCAAAGGATGCGTGTCGGACTTCGTCGTGGACAAACGGCGACTTCAGCTAGCTAGACGGAAGATCGAGTACTGTCACGACAACGATGTATGATAACGAATCCCGGAAACGACGATTGTCAACGTGACATCGCCCCTGGCCGCGCTCGTCGACTGGACGACGCTCCTGTCTTCGACGAGTTAGCACCAGTCTAAAAGTGGACGAAGGCGCACGTGAAGGAAAATGGTTTGCGTTTGGTGTTCGTTTCTGGGTGATGGATAAAGGAAACGATGGTCTGGAACAGTTATAAGGGAAACAGGAAGGGAGCTAGGCTCGAAGTCGACGAGGAGACACGTGATTCCTGCCAAAGCTTTACGAGAGTACATGGACACTCCGTGGGAAAGGAACGTCGATCGCACCACGGGAAGGATAAACCGCGGATCCAATAATGTAGCAACCTAATTCGTACGTTTATTTTTCATTCAAGATAGCGTAGAGAAACAAAGTTCGCTGTTTCGTTCTTGAAACGCACGACAGGGGAGGAGACGAATAAAATGAAGAACCGCGTTAAATGCTGAACGTTCTTATCTGAGGACAATAATATATTTTTAAGGTGACGAGATATAATATACATATGAGCATATGTATAATGTATGTAGGAAGAATTTAACGCGTATACGTATAAACGGGACGGGAGGAAAAAAGTAACTGTAAAGCAACAAATTGAGAATTTGTGAACGAAGAGGAGAGCTGAAGCGGGTGTGATGAAACTCATCGATAATCGTTAGACGTTACTGTATAAGTTAATATTATATATCGAAGCACCTATAAATGTTTTACGATGCCAAGACTGATTAAAGAGAAAATGAAAGAGAAGACGGTAGGAGGAGTTTAATGATACGGAGGAGTTTAATGAAAATATCTAAAAGAGACGAAACGAATAAATAAATAAACAGATCGATAAATCGGTGTTATGTTTGAGTGTTTCGGTAGAGAGATTTAAATGATCGTGCATTATCAGAATATAGAAGAATGTATTTTAAAGGACTTGTTGATTTATGCCAGTAGAGAGAAACAATAAGAGGAGGAGACGTGCAAGATGACGAACGATGAATAAATTATTCCCACATATGTACACACACGCGCGTACACGAAACACACGCACGAATATAAAGAAGAAAATATACCAACAGATACGCTGTACAACGTTGTTTCTAGGCAGACAAGGCTTTTTACAAATGCACAAAGGAATAGATATATATATATATATATATATAAATATAAATAAATATATAAATATATTATATATAATAATTATACATACGATATTACGCAGAATACATTCCATTTAATGGACACCGAAGCGTAAAAGATATTATCTAAGTATCACGGTGAATGTATATCGTCGGACGAACATCGACGTCCTTGTTACATTTCGAACCGGTACCACAAAATAGAGAATGTATCGAGCTTGCCTCGAAGACACTCCGTTTCCGTTCGACAATCCGCAACACACTTGCACGTGAAATGGATATACAGTTTACTCTGACAAAGAGAAGGCGTATTGAACGCGATCATGTTTCTCCTTAATATACATATATATATATAGTATATATATACAGGGTTTGTAGAAACGGCGCTGATCTGCTGATTCATTTAAATGTAAACGGACTAAATTCAAGGAGAATTGCATCGAACGTCCGAGAGTGATGAATCATTTCTGCCGATTAGGATAATTGTATATTCGAGTCCCGGTTCTTCGATGATTTGAAGGAAAACTACGAACGGAGAGGAGAACGTGTCCTCGTGATACTTTCTGATTACTCAGCCTAATTTGATTATATTCCGGAAACGATTCGAACTCTCGGGACAAGGGTAACGATAAAATAAATATATGATAATACGTGTCGCTTGTGTGTAATCGAGTGAACAACGCGAAGGAGTGTCTGAATGAAACCTGACGTGTGCGTGGAAAAGCTAGATACCGTTTCGGGATGCACTAATTGTACATATAATTGACGTACGCTATGATCTACGAGCTGATTATCGTTTTATTATCATGTACCAAGAACACTCGCAATAACGCGGGCGCACCTGAATCTGTCGGACCTAAAAAGAAGAAATCGTCGATACGAGCTAATTGTAATCAACTTTAATGGTTCATCGAATCCGCCTTTTTCAACGAATTTTTTTTTTTTCTTTCATTCATCCTCCGTCATTCGTGAAAACGAAAATGCGTCCAATTCAACGTGTTCTTCCTTTGCTCGTTAATCCCGATCGTTATACTTGGACGATCACGACGAATAATCGTCGAAGAGAGCCTAAAATTTCAGTCGTTAATGACGGCAGCTGATCCGTCGCGGAATGAGACGCTATCGAAGAATTTGTTCATTCGTCTCGTCGAACGTTTCCAGCGTTGCTCGAATGAACGGACGTTTGATTTTCAAGTGGCCGCGAAACGAATTAATTGCACTGGCAATATAAAGTCGAGAACGGAGAATCGATTGTAGCTGGTATGATTATTTTTCGAATGCACCGCGTTGAGTAAAATTCGGGTCTTAAGCGCACGACACGATACATATCCCTGAAACATATATAAGTTTATATATTTATAAAGTTCGCCGACGTCACGATTGACGTGTAAATAAGTGGCCATTTTTGTCTGGAAATGTTCGACGCCGCGGTTGTTTACGTGATTCTAAACGAGACGCAGGCGAGTCGACCAAAAACTTTTTAATCATTTGAAAGATACGCGTAAACGTCGATTCCCAAACCTCGCTGCTATGACGAATCGTTGGGTGTTTTTTAAAACGAATCTTTTTCATTGCGTTCGTTCATTCCGAAGGCACGCGCTTATACAACTTTTATAAAAGTACCGCTTATTCTCTGATATAATTATAACGTTCCAACGTAATCATATCTCTGTCATATCGATCGATCGACCGCGGTCGGTCGATGAGCGAGGAGAAAAGTTTTGAGAGCGGTTATTCTTGACTAATTAAGCGTTGACTATACGTAAATTGTTCCTCGTTAGTAAGAATTCGAATTACCGCGAGCAATATCGTCACATATCCTTCCTCTTGAAATGTGATTCTTCATATTCTTCCAATGAATATCGCCGTTTAACATATCGAAACGAATTTGTGGCCAGTAATTTTAGAGAGAACAATGAGAGGCAAACATATTCCACCGCAACAGACTATCGGACACGTTTTGCCTGTGTCACGCACTATCCGCCTATGTCAAGAACAAATTATCCGCTTCGAACGTCGGCGTTGTTGCTTTCGTAAACAGAATATCGTGTTCAACGGAAAAACATAAGGGACATGAACTCGAAACATATAATTATATTTATATTGGATATATTTAAATTTATAAGCAATAAGGGAGAAATTTTTAGTTATATTATATGTACATTAAGTATTAAACAAAATTTCGACTGAAATAATTTCTTGTGCATCGTGACAACTTGCATTCGAGAAACAAAAGGAAGGTGAAATGGACACGACTTATAATTTTTAAGTAATGTTAATTTCATCCTCATTGTCAATCAGAATTTTTAAGCCATAATTTGTGGTAGAATACGAACGAGCTAGCCAATGCGCGGAGAGGTATGTCATTGTAAAGAATAATAAAATGTACAACGTGTAATTGACGGGATGATACGAAATAATAAAAATATCATCTTACTCGTTTGATGAATCGAGAGAAAATTCACGATGCTCGTGTAACTGAAGGAGAAATGAATTAACATCACACGTAAAAGCTGAGAAGGGAGGAAGGATTTCAATCGATGCCTGAAAATTACTGCCAATTTAGATAGAGATCCTAGGATCAACGTTTCTCCCTCCTGAAGCTTCCCGTGACCCGAGACAATTATTTATCAAACAATTTTGGGACATTTATTGAAACGGGAGACACTGTTGTCTCGATGAGATCACGATGCGAGTGAAAGATGAAAATTTCGACTTCCGTTTTGCGTATAAAAACGTTTAGTGTCATTTATTTTGCACAGAAGTGAAGAGACACCCATCGCGGTAAGGCGTTCGTTTCAATAAGTTTATTTTTTACTTTGATACCGTCTTTACTGCGACCATTCGCCCTTCGCTGACCTAAAGTATTCGTGAGCTACACTGTATAACAAAAAGTATGCGTTGTAAAGTGACTGTATATACAAATATAAATTATGCGATTATCTCGAG